GAAAGAAAGAAAGAAAGAAAGAAAGAAAGAAAGAAAGAAAGAAAGAAAGAAAGAAAGAAAGAAAGAATGCAAATAATGAAAAACCATTTTGTTACCTGCCTATCTTGAGAACTTGAGTAAACTCAAGATTGGCAAGATTTTTCTTGGCTTGATTATTGTATTATCCTCTGACACCTTCCAGAGAAGATAGAAAAAATATTTTCTTCTGCACGAATTTGTGTGCGTAATAAGAGGTGAAATAGTCAAATATAGCCTTTTGTTTTGGAAATTTTTATATTGGAGCTCATCACAGAATGATTGCCTCACAATTAACTTCATTAACTGACAAGTCTGCCAAATTTTATATTAAATGTTTGTTGATTAACCACATTCCAAGTATGTTATTAAAATGGGCATGTTTTGTCAGCGGCCTTAAGGTAGAGATTATACTGCAATGAAAGTTATATTAAATTTTTGCACTTGGCAGACTTTGTGTAATATGATCCATTTTTCCTTGTAACCAAGATTCAGCATCTTATTTGGATTTTTTATTCCTATTCTATTGACCACAATAAATATTCAGTTCAAAATCAAGACAAATTTACCTGAGGGTATATTTGAATTCTCTCCCCTCATACGCAATGTTTTTTAAAAACAAATCTCAAGAAGAGTTGTTGAGATGGGAGAAAATAAAATAATAAAATAAAATAAAAATTGAACAAATAAATAAAATATAACAAAAAGATCACTGCTAAATTTACATTTCAAAAGGCATTTTTCAATCTTTTAAGAAAATTAACATAACAGATTGAACATAAAACATTTAAATTGGACTGATGCTTGGATCAGCAATTCATTATTATAAGATTTGTGTGGTTTTTGTTTTTTTGTTTTTTGGATAACTGATAGGAACATCAAATAGGCAAATGATCCCATGCACTGTGAAATTAAACATTCTCTCCATTTGAGATAATATCCTGCAATTTCTTTCACCATTTTCTCCTCTCTAGTTGAATTTCAGTAGGGTCTGTTTTGAGGACGTAGAACTTGATATATTTCCCACATTCTTTTCTTGAAATCTGAGCTTCCCCTCCCTTTTTTAAACAGTGGTGAGTCTGCAGCCTTTTTACTTATATCAGTAAAAAGGAATGTCATGCAGGTTACATAGTCACATAGCAATTCACAGAACTTGCCCAACCAGGTCAGTTAAAATACTAGCAGTTGGTTTGCAAAAGTTCTTCAACTTTGGTTCAAGGTTTTTGGTACTTTAGTGGTTTCTTGGTTAATTTATCATTCAGTATAATAGGTGAACCCAGAAAAGGATTTTAATAAGTCATGACATTAACTAGTTCCATTAACCTGGCCTGTGAGTAGTAAAACTGCACATCAATGGCCACTGCAAACAGATACATGCATGTTTTTAATGGCAATAAGTAAACAAATAATTTAATTGCTCAGGTTTTGCTAGTTTAAACTGGCTGTGAACTACCCTTTGCCCTGCTCTAGCAAATGCCTACTCCCATTTTATACACATTGCATTAGATCAACAGAAACAAAATGTCTATATTCTGCTTACTGTAAATATCACCTTTGGAACAGGATGAAATATTTGTCTGGACGGCCATATCTTGGGAGATAAGATATTGTATGTGTCTGAATAGACTTAAGTGCCTTACCTTTTTGTTTGCATTAAGGCTTGAGGCTGGGATTTGGAGGGTAACCTTGTATTCAGTCCTTTTGTCCATCTCTTCTACAATGAAGCTGGCTTCTCTAACATACAGGTTGGCCTTCATAATCTGCTCTCTCAGTTTCCTTAGACTGTGGTTGAGCATCTCTTCTCTATTGCAATACAAGGGAAAGAGAGAAAGGAGGATGGACTTTAAAAGAAAATATTTAGAAACACACTGCAATAATCACACTGATAAGGATGTTTTGCTCTGGTGCAAATCAGTTAATTATTTTTGCACCAATGAAAAGAAGGACTAGAGGTAACATGATAGCAGTGTTCCAGTATCTAAGGGGCTGCAGAAAGAAGGGATCGAGCTATTCTCCAAAGCATCTGAGGGCAGGACAAGAAGCATTGGATGGAAACTAATCAAGGACAGAAGCAACCTAGAATTAAGGATAAATTTTCTGACCATTAGAACAATTAATCAGTAGAAGGATTTACCTCCAGAAGTTGTGGGTACTCCAGCACTGAAGGTTTTTAAGAAGAGATTGGACTACCATTTGTCTGAAATGGTGTAGGGTTTCGTGCTTGAGCACGGGGTTGGACTAGAAAACCTCCAAGGTCCCTTCCAACTCTGTTAAACTATTATTCTGAGCTAGGGGCTATCTATGTTCTTGGCTAGACTGTGACATTCATGTGAACTCCTGGCCAGTAAGTTTGGAAGTCTTCCCTTCCAGTTACAGCAACACAGTTTAGATGATATGGCTTGACTCTGCAAATTTTTCTCATCATAATGATGGTCATCCTGCATTGCTTGATAGCGATTTATATAATATTTGTATATTTATATAAATATTCACAAGACACGATCATTGCTATCTCTACATGAATGAATCAAAAGGACGTGTGTGGAGACTTTCCCATTATTGAACAGCACTCTTGGGTCACTTAGGAGTCTCCATTTGATGTGTAAGAATTCACTTCCATCAACCTCATAGCCCTTTTCTGCAATAAATGAAATACACACAATATCCCATCCTTAGGCCCAAATCCTTTGTTCGTAGAAGTCTGTGCCAATAGCCCAAGTGCCTCCTTTCAGTGGCCACATGCAATTGAGTAGCACGCAACAACTTCCTTTTTGCTAATAAAAAGGTTATTTTATTCACTGAGGTATAAAATGTATCTATAGTCTTAATCCAAACATATGCCAAGATGAGTATTCTTCAAAGAAGAGAACAGGGAAAAATACCAGACCTCCAAAATTCATTCCCTTCACCCACCTCTCTTCCGCCCACTGGCGTAAACGTTGCTGTGCATTGGGAGAATGGAAGGAAAACCGGTCCATGGTGCGGAACTGCTGCTTCTCTGGAGACAGGCGTCTCCGGAGCTGTTCTAGTTCATGCTCGTACATGAGTCGCTGCCGCTCCAGTGCTGACCGTTTCTCTTCTTCGTGCTGTTGCTCTAGACTTTGTAAAATGGACTGCATTGGATCTAAGCAGAGAGGAAGAAAGATGTCACAAGATAAAAGCCTAGAACAGGGGACTCCAAGCTTGGCAACTTTAAGACTTATGGACTTCAACTCCCAGAATTCCCCCAGCCAGTCAAGCCCACAAGTCTTAAAGCTGCCAAGCTTGGACACCACCACCACCCGGCCTTGAACAAATGGCTCTACAATAAATTTAAGTGTGGAGCCACACAATCTGTGTATCTTACATAGGCAGGTTGGTTTTTAAAGGAGTTGTATACTCAGAGAAATACAAATCAATCTTTGCCTCAATTTCCCAGAGATTACTCAGATAAACAGTTACCTAAATCAGTTTGCACTAAAGCTAATATCACAGAAACCCAAATCTTGGTGTTGGGATTTTTCTTAATCTGGTCCAGCTAACAAGCCCGAAGACTGCATTTGGTTTTCCCCACAAAAATCATTACATTATACAAAATTAAACTCCTATTCCTTAACATCTAACCTTAATTCCAATTCTGCATTTGTTTCTATTTCCCTATTAATTCTACAGCCTTACTTTCAAGTTGATGACTATTTCTATCTTATTTAATCGATAAAGTTCTATTTTTATCTCTAAATTCCATGCCTATCTTCCCATTTTCATGTTTCTAGCATCATGTTTTCCTAAATTAACTATTTCTTAGCTCTTTAAGTGTTTTCTTTACCTTCAGGTCTTCATCTCCTATCCCAGTACCTAGTACATTTATATGTGAAAACTCTTTGCGTCTATATCAGAGATGACGTCAGCCTTTGAAAGTTTAAAACACATGGACTTCAACTCCCAGAATTCCCCAGCCAGCCTAAAGTCTACAGGTCTTAAACTTGCCTAGGTTGGATGCCCTGCTCTATAGACTTTGCTCTCCCCTCCCCCACCCCAGCACTCACAGTCCTCTGTTTCTGGAGCTGGTTTGTGGAGCTCTGCACCTGGGTCCCTGCAGGCAATGGGCCTGCTTTGCATTGCAGATTCTGGCTGGTCTGTTTTCCTCTGCATTTCTCAGTTCTGCTTCTTGGTCTTGCAGTTCCAAAACTGCAGTTTTCTTTCACTCCCTGAAAACTGCTGCCTTTGCGTTGAAGGTTTCTCTTTCCTACTTCTTTGCTGTCTTTTTGGCTTGACTTTCTTTGAGGGTTTTTTTTTTTTTTTTTTGACTCACACATGCTGGCTTTCTCTTTTGTTTTATGGGATAAACTTTCCAGTTAAGGAGTGGGTGGGGCTGCTGTTTTAACCCTCTTTCCCAGGCAGCACCAAAATTCTTGATCTCATGAGGGAAAAGAAGCGCCTGCTTCACTCTGGGTGGTAAATTTACTCTTCCACACTTGGTCAAATCACAATTAGACTAGCGCAATGCAAACTGTATAAAGTTGACCTTTAAGAGTTTCCAGAAGTTTCCTTTGGCACAAAATGAAGCTGCTAGCTGTTAACTCTTGGCATAATGCGAAGGCCATTTTATGTCCATTTAAATGGTTTGCACTCAGTTCTGGTTATTTTTCATGCATGATTCAAATTGTTGCTTTTTATCTTTAATGCTCTAAACAGTTTACTTTGGCTACTCAACGGCTCTCCTTTTTCAGCATGAATCTTTTCTGGGAGAAAGATTAGTAGGAGAGGCCTTTTAAAAATGGTTCCAATTTCAAAAGTCAGCTTTTTAGATTATGGAATGGAATACGTAGCTTCTGCTCTCTTAATTTAGGAAAATAATCAACAGGTTTTTTTCAAATAACCTTTTGAGCCGATTATTATTATTTTGGCTGCCTTGTCTCAGCGGGCAGCATCTCTTAATTGAACTTACCTAAGCAGATTGGAATATGATTACCACTTGGATAGGAAACAACGGAAAAGCCCAGGATTGTAGCAGAATTGAGGAGTCAACAAAAGCTTGAAAGGAGGTCATAGCAAACCATTTCTATCTTGTTTCCAAGGAAACAACATGATTATTACCTATGTATCACTCTTAATTTTCTGGACAAATGGAAAAAGAATTCAGGTAGGCTAAGTGAGTCAGTACCTAAATATGAATTTATTAAACTATAATATAGGATGATGGGCCAAATTACTAAAAAAACATCTTTGTTTAATACTATACTTGCCCCTTACCAACAGCAGTTACATGCAGTTTAGTTCATTAGAGATGGGGACAATTGAGGCCAGTGTAGAAACAGATAGAAAAGATTATATTTAATTAAATACTGTATATTCCTCTCTTGTATGATGGAGCTTTCAAATGGAGTTCAATATTTGATTCTTGTCTAACAACTTGGGCTTGATGGTGCATTGTTTTTTTAGGCATGAACAAACCATCCCCACCAAAATCTTGCTAAATATTTTAACCCATGGATACTAGGCTTATATGCAGACTGAGTTGCAACTTCTAGACTATGGAATTGGTTATACTAGGAGGATCAATGGGAATCAGTATAAAAAACTATTAAGACTGCATGTTATCATTCTTTCTTCAGACAATCTTTTGGGATATTTTCAAATGAAACCAATTGTAAGCTAGTATTTGTGAAATTATGTTTTTAAGTTCTTCTTCAACTGTCTTACACTGATAGTCTTCCTTGATAATATAAATAATGTTTTATATTATACATTTGTAGGGTTTCAAGTCTTGTAAAACAAATCAAAGTTAAACTCATATCTAGCCTCTTACTATTTTATACATCCATGATATAATCCTTAGAAACTGTATCCTTCAATCACAAATGACACACATTGTGTAATTTTTGTGTCACATGCACAATGATATCATAAGGCATGTGGCATGATTGTGTTTTCTACAGAATGCTTTGGCCACCATTGTTTATCTTCCATGATAACTTGCTATCACAAATGTTCACTGCATATAGCAATAACAATAGCACTTACACTTATATACTACTTCGAAGTGCTTTACAGTACTCCCTAAACAGTTACAGAGTCAGCAATTATCCCCAATAATCCGGGTCCTCATTTTACTGACTTTGGAAAGATAGAAGGCTGAATCAATCTTCAGCCGGTCAGGATCGAACTCCTGGCAGTGGGTAGAGTTAGCCTATATATATATATATATGAACACTGCACACCAGAATAACTAGACACAAGGACAGTTTTTTCCTGAACGCCATCACTCTGCTAAACAAATAATTCCCTCAACACTGTCCAACTATTTACAAAGTCTGCACTACTATTACTATTAATCTTCTCATCACTCCTTATCACCCATCCCCTCCCTTGTGACTATATGACCGTAACTTTGTCGTTTGTATCCTTACGATTTATATTGACTGTTTCCTAGTATGATTTGATGCTTATTGTACCCTATGACTATTATTAAGTGTTGTACCTTACGATTCTTGACTCTTGACTAATGTATCTTTTCTTTTATGTACTTTTCTTTTATGTACACTTTTATGTACACTGAGAGCATTTGCACCAAGACAAATTCCTTGTGTGTCCAATCACACTTGGCCAATAAAGAATTCTATTCTATTCTTTCTGTTCTATATTAAAATTATTGTTCAAGATACAATGTATCTCACAGTCATAACATAACCTTGAATTGCAACCACGTGCAAAATGGCATACCATAAAGTGGAAACAAAACATCCACATTCCTTACCATTTCCTCCAAGAGCTTTCATGGTTACTTCCATCTGGGCATATTCATAGTTGAAGCTGATTTCACTGGATACCTCGCTGGAGCTGTCTCCATCTAAATCCAGCTGCTCAGAGCTGTTGCTTCCTTTCATTGAACTATCTTTGTCTTCATCCTCTGCTTCTACTTTCTTTTTCTTTTTGGGCAAATTCAGCCTTCAACAGAAAAAGAAAAATGCTAAGAAGCACCGCCTTTGAAAACTGGTTTCATTTGATTTTGAAAAACAGATGCAGAGATGCCTTGTCAATGAGAGAAGATAATAGTATCCACTACATTAAGAACATAAAATTAAGGCTGCTATTAATGAGTCACAGAGATCTTTTCATCAATTATTGGGCAAAATTAGAAGCCGCATTCTAACACACCTGGAGGATATCTGTCAGTGAACATGGACCTGGCTAAATTCCTTGCGTAGGTTCTGCTCAGCTTTTGTCATAGCTTATGTATATTTCAAAAAAGGTTGGTGTAACAAAACTCATGTCTGCATTGATTTGTGGGAAAGGGGATATCAATATATTTTGCTCAGATATTAAGTTACGTCTTCTAGATAATTATTTATTTTGGTTAGAGGTCTTTGAAGGAAAACTTCCTTCTGCATTTGGGCCTTCTGCTGTACTCTATTTTAATTAACAGTAACAAGTGATGTTTGGAATTTCCAAATTAAAAAAAAAAATCTTGGGCAATTACTAACAGTTTGAAATATTCTAAGGATTATATTGGATTGTTGTAATACTTCAAGCTACTCTTGAAGACCACCCAGAAACTGTAGGTGATCCAGATGTGATACAGGTAGTGTTGGGCATGCCTTGGTATGTCATGTGACATCACTGTTCTGTGAATTGAACTAGTTTGCCAGTATACCTTCAGGTGCAATTTGAAGTACTGTTTATCACCTATAAGCTTTTCAGGGCATTGGGCCAGTTTACTGAAGGACAGCTTAGACCCCATGATTTCTTCCTGTTCAGTAAGCTTGTCTACAAGTTGGTATACTTCGGATCAATAGTCAAATTGGGACCCCAAAAGTTTGCTCTTCATCGAAGTTTGAAGTTTGTGGAACCTTGTTCATTACATTTTCAGTTTGAAGGACCATGTTTGTCCAACACATGGGAATGCCTTTCTATTTTTACTGCTTTTTATTTTTATTTTATTTTTAATATAAGCTATTCAGAAGCAATTGAGAGTTGGGTACCCTCCAAATATCATAAAGACATTTTATATACAGAAAATGAATATAATTTCACTTCAACATCCAAACTGGAATAAAATCACACTGAAGAAAATCATTATTATTTTCGGGCTTTTATCTGTAACCACAGAGATGGAAATAATCCAAGAGATATAGATATGCCATACCAATAATACTTTAAGTTCAGTTTAAACAAGGACTCAATCTAAACAAGACACACACATACGTACACATATATCTCCCCCTAACCTAGTTCCCTTATAATTTTAGGCTGGGCAAATGACAAACTTTTTTTATTGCCTTAAAACATTAAGATGATACTAAGGTGGTCAGCCACAAATGATAAAAGACTGAGCCCTCTTTTGCCTTACTTCCCCTCCTGCACAGCTTCCATATACTACTAAAAGTCTCCTTTTGTCTGTTTGTGATCTTCAATTGGGCAAACAGTGCATCATAGGACAACATTTGTTTGAATTAACATACCTCAAACGGTCTAAGAATGAGTCCAAAATCTGTAGACCCGTTTGATCCATGGGATTGAAACTTGACAAAGTTATGGCCAATTTGGTGTTATTGCATGGCCGCATAAGTCAACCACAGTCATGAGATAATCATTTCCAATATTCCCTGCCAGTTTCCCACAAGGAAAAGCAATTTAGAATCCAGCAGGAAGTTGGATGTCCCAGGTTGGCAGGGATTGCTGCCAGGTGGGGGAGAGACGGAGAGAGCTGTGGGGATGCAAGGGAGGCTCAGTGTAGGCGAGGGACAGTGCATAGGATGTACAAGACGTGTCGTGGATTTGGGAAGTATGAGAAAGGGAGTACTCAAGAGGTGCATGAGAGACCTGGGAAGGGTGTATAGGGATTTGCAAGAGGCAAACGGGTCAGGGAAATGTATGAGAGGTGCTTTATGGGTGAGGAAGGTTGTGCAGCTCGGCGGGTATGCAGGATTGTGAAGAGTATACAAGGGTGCAACAGCAAGAGTCAGGGAGGGTATGCAGCGGCATGGGAGTGGAAGTTAAGGAAATATCTCTGAAACAATACCCCAAAGAGTCCTGGGTTGTATAGCAACAATATAACATTTTTAAAAAATTGTTCAGCCACCATACAAGAGTTAACATTTTGTTGTAAAATTATGACCATAACATCAAAGAAACAAAGACCCAAAAAAATGGGTATACAATTCCTGACATTCCCAGCTAGCATAGCCACTGATCTTACTAGTTGGAGGGATTTTGGGACTTGTAATTCCAAAATATCTGACAGTTGCTTAGTTGAAGAAGGCTAAACTATCTTGACTTTGAGCAGAGGACAAGACCAGCAAATGCATACGGCAGAGTCGAGCCTCTGCAGCCAGCTTTTCAATTATTAAATGGTTTCAAAGGCAATCCAAATTCCTGTGTCTCAAAGCTGTACCAATTTCAGAAGACAATGAAAGGAATCAGCAGCTTACCGGAAAAAGTGATTGTTTCCCCACAAAATTCTATCACCGTGGTGTAGCTGTGTGGGACCTACAACAGCTGTGCCATTCACAAATGTCCTGTGTTGAAGGGGGGAAAAAAGTAAATATAGTCATTCCCACATCAAGGATTTGGCCTGCCCTTAATGCCACATGGCAGTGATTAAGAAAAACATAATGTGAAGAACTTGTGTTGATTCCCCTCCTTTGAGCCACAGCAACAAAGCAGAGACATTGCATGGTAAAATAAATTGATACCAATCCAACACATCTGAACACTCCCTTTTCCCATTTACAAGGAAGATATATCAGTGCTCCTACAGCTGGAGAAGAAAAGTCTTTGGCTGGAATCTTCTTCCTGCTTGAAAGAGGTAGTCATTTTTTTTCCAGTTCCCTTTGTCACAACTGTCCCATCTGCTGTTTAAAAACTTTCCCAAACAAACCTCTTTTGCACCCACCAGATACATGCCACCAGGAACAGAGCATGAAAATTTAGGAGAGGGAACAACAACTGGTTTGAGCAATTTCCTGTGCCACTTTGCTTTCCATAGCCGAAAACCACAATTCAGTCTCAGACATGTTGCTTGTTTCAGGGCTTCTGGTCAATGCAGCAGGGGGCAGGGATGTTCACTGAGTTCTCCCTCTCCCTTTACTGAATACATAAACATTCTGAGCCAAGGAAGCCCACGGTTTTGGCACTATTATTTATTCCAAATATGTGCATGCATTTACTCTACTGGAAAAATATTAGAATGAGGGGGAAAAAAGCAAGCAATAAGAGGCAATATGGGTCCTTTCATTTAGCTACAAAGATCCCAAAATCCAACTGTGGAACTTCTTCCATGCTTCATTTAATCCTGAATAAGAGCAAAGTTCTTGCCTCTATAGACAGAACACAGTACTCAATTACCTAGTATTCTTCTGAGGTGTCAACATGACTTGTCCATCCCCAATAATATCTATTATACAATGTTCAGGAAGAATCCCCAATCCACAGAGCTGTATGTCTTGAGAATTATCAGATCCAACGAGTGTGTGCTCCTGCAAAAGATTCAAGATCAGGCCCACTGAAATCCAACAGAAATTCATATTACTTACCACACATGAAACTGACCATTCTCAATTCATCTAGTCCAGCTTTCTCAAAGTGCTCTAGCAAACCGTAATTGTCAAATGATGGCTGGCTTCCCATCACAATAAAGTAAAACTATTGCGGCACGACTTAGCATCAAGTGTGCACTCAGTCATTACCTTCCCTTACACTCACTGTATAAAATCATAACGCAAAAAAAAAAAAAAAATGAACTGTGAGGAGGAAGTAGAGAGAAAGAGCAAGCTCAGCTTCCAGTCCTCAAGAGTTACAGATATTATCCAACCAGTTGAAATGAAAAGAATTCAGGATTGTACTTAGTTTGCATTTGCTATAATGTGTCCACTTCTTTTCTTTAACAACAGCAAAAAAGGGGAAAATATTGACTGCAGGAAATAAATGGGGGAAACAATGAAAGGATAAGACAAAAGGAAAGATAAATTCAATTTCTTATTGAACTAACTTTGCTTTCTTCTCCCCAGTATTATTTTTAAATTGGAGCACAATTCTGATGAAGAATAATATATCCCGCTAGTCAATCATCTGAAAAGATGCTGGCTGTACTATAGTGCAAATTAAACTGTCCTTAACATTAAGTCTGCTAATGTTACTCATCTTCACCTGTCTTTCTAGCACAGTAGTCTACATGCAACCTGCTGAATGTCGAAAGGAAAAAGAAGCATGTTTCATTTGTTTCTTAAAATTCTATGGTCTTTTTTTTCAATTCCTCAAAGTAGCTTTGCATTAAAACAAATTAAAAAACCATAGTAAAAACTCAATTACATTTACTAACATTCATCATAAATCCTCAGAATAAGAAAGCTATTGCCAAATAAGCCTGGAAACCTGGATAACTAGAATTGCTAAGTTACAGTTTACAGCAGAGGTTTCCAATGTTAGTTAGCAACTTTAGGATCTGTAGAATTCAATTCCCATAATTCCCTAGCCAACCATGATGGCTGGGGAATTCTGGGAGTTGCAAGTCCAAAAGTTGCGAAAGTTGGATTCTCCTGGTTTATAGCATCCCTTACCTCTGGGCTTCATCAACAACTCCCTTTCTACTTCTGAATTAGAGAATCTGTCTGAAGGTGAATCAGTTGGAAATACTTTCTTCAGATCAGAAAGTGCTGCTTGATTGCCTAAATGGCAAAATATCAAGTGGATCTCATTTTGTTTTGTGGCTGCACTGAGGCATCATTCTGAGTAATCAAAGCATCCTTTTTGGATGCTACCTGCCTCATTTCTGAATGCAGGGAACACAACAATGGTCCCATTGAAAACCATAATAGAAAGACTGAATTGTAGGAGGGAAAATCAGAGTGGGGGCAGGGAACCTGTGGCCTTCCAGATGCAGATTCCCTGTTGAATGTTTCAACAATGCTTGCTGGAGCTATTTGGAATGATAACTTTTTATGGATTTGGGCTTCATTGTCATTTTTTATTTCTTTGTGGTTTGGCATTTGGAATAGATTCCTTCCACAGACAATCTGGCATGTGGATCATTATCAACTCGAACTACATATCTGAACTGAAAGAAAGCGGGGGAGTGCATACTATTTGAGGATGAGTCTATCAGAGGCTATGAACCACAATAACCATGCTAAAAGGCAAAAGGAATGGGTGCTGCAAAGCTATTCTCTCAAATATCTCTCTGGAAATGTAAGAACGAAAAGTTCAATTAAAATATATATAAACTAGGAAGATGCTGAGTTCTATGCTGAATTAAATAATGCACAGAATTATTTCTCTAAATCTATTTAAATAAGGCTTATTCAGACAGTAAGATCTCAACTATTTTTTTTAAAAAAAAAGAAGCAAAGGTTTAACAAAATGTGAATTGTAGCCGATAAAGATGTAATGGTATGTGAGAATGACCTTGAGGGAGGATGTGAAAAGATATAGCAGTTGCTTAAGGGTCACAGAAGAAATGTCGAAAGGGCCCACCCTAACTGATCAAGCTAGTTGTTTGTACTTTCAGACTTGTGAAATTATGTTAATATAGCCATACAATATAGTAGAATTAGCTGTTGGAGAAAGAGACTTAGGAACTCTCTAATTGATCGTGCTGTAAAAAGAGACTATGGGAAATCTGTGCTTTCAGACTTCCAAAATTATGTTAATATAGCCTTACAATAAAGGAGAATTAGCTCAGCAAGTCATGTTTCCTGTCTGCTTTATCCAGGACAGCCTTCATATTGTAGTGCACCTGGGGTAATATCCTATTATAAATTTGTTCAGCACTGTTAATATTTTAATAAAGAAGTTAACATTTTAGATTCCTAAAGGAGTCTAAATTTACTACAGAACGAGTTGAAATGATTGTGCTAATTTCCTCCCTCTTCTTTCCTTCTCTTTCTGAATTTTAAGGTATCAGTATTAGGATGCTAAGATGAAATCTTAACATTTTGCAAATAGCCAAGGTCACCCCCTGCATGTATTTTGTTGCCAAGACATTCTTTGAGGGCCTTCACGCTGAGTAGCAAAGAAACAGATATGGCATCAGGAACTAGTTGGGAGGAGGGAGTGCCAGCTGACAAAGCTAGACACCTACACTGCCTTGAAATTCTCTGAAGCTATTCAAAGTCAGCTCTTGTGTTGCTTCAAGGGAACAGTGATGACTAAAGATTTCCCCAACCCACATCCTTACATTCTTCAGGGTGCTAGCCCACTATAAATAGGATTACTGGTTCTCCTTAAAGAGGCAGCATTTAAAATAATGTCACAGGTCTGAATAAGTTTATAAGTAGCTTTGACATATCTGAACAATATTATAAGAAAAAGAGCCACTCATTGAATAACACTGCAAACCTTTCTGGGTCTGCAGTAAATATACTGTATTATTGGCTTGTTTTAAATGGTAGCCTATCCATTTAGGAGCTGGCTTCATGAAGTTGCATTCCCTGCCTAATGCTTCTGCTTTTGCATTATGACTTGGCATACTATATGCAGTAATGCAAGCCATGATTGTGCAAATCTAGTTCCCTCATAACCATGGCTTGCAATTGGCTAAAAAGCAAAAACTGGGAAATCTGTTCCAATTCCATAGTAGCCAAGCTTGGACTTTTCCAACCTTAAGGGGAGCAATAATGATGACTTATTGTACAAAGTTCCTGAGAAATATTGTATTGTATAGTGCTAAGTATCAGAGTATTTATATTTCTCCAAGCAGATTATATTCACAGTTGATGATGGCATTGAAAATATATTTATGGGGGAATCTGATTTGCAATTGCACATATCAAATCATGATTGATACAAATTGTCTGCTTTTCATAACAAAAAAGAATAACCTACATCCTAGTGTCTGCTGAAAACAATTCACAATTCACAATAAAATCTTGGGTTTGAGTACACTGACATTGAATAAACAGCTTTGTATGCTGAAGAGCCCAGCCTGACAGAAATGAAATATCACAAAATCTGCTTTTGCCCAACCAATCTGTCTTGATCCGTTAAAAAAAAAATCAAATCCAGACTGGATTTTGAAATATTTTCTATGTGACTCTTTTCAAAAGCCAATGGATTATAGAGGAGAATTCAGAAACAAGATCTTTGGAGCTTCTTACATTTAAGCAATTTTAAAACAACCCCGTACATCTTTCTAGTATCTCACCTTTAAATAGTAGACCAAAAGTTCATTGAGTGCAGGGTCAGCATTCAAATTCACCAGAAAACACTTGTTATCACCCACTTTGATCCCAGATGACTGAAGAGAGATGCCGAGGCTTTCAAGTTGTTTCTGCCGTTCCTATTTGAGAGGAGCAGAATTACCATTAGAAAAAAACAACTAGAAGCATATATTCTCACACAATGTGTGGTTATTCTTCTCCCTGGACATAACAGAGAAAAAAAACAAAAGGAGAGGCACAGTCAATGATTGGCCACTGTAGCCTATCCACCTCTTTGAGCAGCTACAACCATGGCTGCTCTCCTAGTCTCTAAATTTCATTTTAATTAACAAACCGCAACCCTCAGCCCATGTTTGGCCCCAACCCCTTTTCACAAATCCAGAATCCCAGAAATTACACTACCAAACCGCTGAAAAAGAAAGGAATGAGTACCAACATTTAGGCTTAACATCAAATAATTAAGACAATATCTGCATATAAAAAAGAAATGATTCTGAAATCACCGACTTGTCTAATTCAATATGATGTTATTATCCTGCAACTACAGTCTTTGGCTGTGCTCATATAGCCCACCCATCTTTGGGGAAAAAGGATTGCTGATATGATTTGGAATTTAGCCATATGAAACTTCCCAGGAAAATCTGGGACAAAAGTAGCCACTGTAAAAAAAAAAAGGAAATATGTACAGTATATGATACAGAGAAGGGGAGGAGAAAAGAGGTTCAAGCTTCTCGTAGAATTTAGTCTCAAGGGCTATTAATTGAGAAGCCAGGGCCTTGAGTGCAGGGGTAGGATTCAGTTTTTTAAACAAGCGGTTCTGTGGGTGTGGCTTAGTTGGTGGGCGTGGCTTGCTGGTCATGTGACTGGGTGGGCGTGGCCAACTCAACATCACTCACATCAAGGGGCGCTTCTCCACGCCTGGCCTCTCATGACAGTAGGGATGCTGCAACAGTCGTAAGGGTGAAAAATGGTCATAAGTCACTTTTTTCAGTGCCATTGTAACTTTGAATGGTCACCTGTTTTAGACCAAAACTCAAAAAGGGTATGTAAATTCACATTCGAATGTCAATCTTTCCAGCTAGCCAAGAAGCCTTGCTGAATGTTATTCATCTTGGTTCCTTGTCATTAAAAGCTTCTTTCTGGCAGCTCTGCTTCATTATTCAATTATTTATTCAAAGTGCTAACTCCAACAGGGGAGTATTTCCTCCCAACAGCAGTGTAAAAAGCTTAAAACAACCCTTCCCCTTTAAGAAAGTACCAGCAAAGAAAAAAAACCTCCTTTGGAGACAGTAAGTCTAGGCATACTGCCAAGAATGCAAGAAGGGTAGAAAAAAAACAAAAGGAGATTTCTTTCAACAACGGGTTCTCCGAACTGCTTAGAAAGTTAACAAGCGGTTCTAGTGAAAAGGTGAGAACCTGTAGAATCCCACCCTTGCTTGAGTGTATAAGCTAAAAAAGTATGCATGAAGATTAAGCTCCAAAGTATTTGTTCTCATCTAGTTTAATCCGACATGAAATCTTATTTAGAAAAATGGTTCCCAGCATGTGATAATAGGGTGTGGCTTTACACACACATAATGTCAAGAGTTTGTGGAATTGTGGTGCAACAGACAAATGCTAAATGGCCCAATTTTCAGGCAAGTACTCAATTTCACAAATGTTTGGCTTTCTCAACAAATCTGTACAACACCAACATTTCCTAAGATCTTATAAATTATTATTCATTCCTTTGGTACTTTAATTTTTTTCATTTGATTGCTGGATCTCATGGAGGCCCTCTAAGGGAGTACTTAAAGTAGGATTGACAATGGCACCCTTAAATGCTTGTTCCACACCTACCCCAGAATCATTTCCGCATGATCAGAAAAATAAAATTAGCTTAAAGCACAACCTCTTTTTTTTCTCCACATCACCACAGCATCTACTAAGTCCCTCAACCTTCAGAAAAATAAGTGCTCACCTTTCCTTTAAACTATCAATAAATCCATCGCTGCTTTTGAAAGTGTTATGACAACAACAAACATTCCTGAGGGTACGAATTAAAAGATGGAGGAAGGAGACAATCGAGCAAGGAATAATATTATAGGAAGATATGGCTGAAGATCCGACCTCCCTTTTGCTGATTTTAGTACCGTGAATAGGTTGAAGGTTGGAGTGGTTAAACATAAAACCAGTATGTTCCAAAGGAGGCTCTTGGCGAATAACAACACATCGTCTGAATGTAGAGAGACACAGAACCCAGCCCATCTGCAATCTACAACCAGAAATATGTACCAACAATTATTTATTTTTGGCCAACAACCAAGCCATGAAGGTGGCTTCATTTTGGCAGTCCAAAGTTTGATCTAGACAGGAGATCACTGTTTGTGCAACAATAATCTCTCTTTGAATTGACCATCCTAGGAATTAAGAAATAAGTCATTTATGGGATCATAAATTATCTAGAAGTATCATGAGCTTTCACGAAGGGTTTGTTTAAATGGTGACAGTAATCATCACTGTGTGCCAGCAAAACTCAATACAAAAATGCAGACCTGTGCAATTTCCTCTGTCTTCCTGAGCTTCTCTTCCCAGGTTACTGTCATCTCCTGAATAAGTTTTTCAGACTCTTCCAAACGATCTTTTAATTCTGGAGATTTCATAGCCTAAAAGATTAAGGGAGGGGGAATGGAGGTGAGAAAGAAAAAAGCAAATTATGGAATTCTCCTTAGAAGGGCCATCAAATTAAGGTTTCATGCATTCTTCATGATCTTATCATTGCAATCTATGTGACTGAAAAGTAGCTACCATGAATAATACATGCAGGAAACCTACGTCCTTATTGAGTGTAATATTGGGAGAGGATGCCTGCATGCTGGTAGAAAAATCTGACCTTCCAACTCAGCATTTTACTACAATGCTGATAAGAGGAAATCCTAGTGTAACAATTGTGTATTATTATTAAATTTATTACAGTTATGGAGCAGTATTTTCTGCAATTATTATAAGAGATTACGTGATTTAAATTAAAAGCATAGATATTTTCTAAAACCAATTAAAATAAATGAAATGTTTCAATTATAATGATATAAATGCAGGTTATAAAATACTAAGGATTTTAAGTATTAAATATTAAACAGCTAAAAAGATAAGTTTCGGGCATCTAGAAACACAGGCATGTGCATATATATATAAATCCTGCATGTATAAGCAAGCATGCATATGCAAGTATAGATGTATATAAATTTTGTTAGGATTGGTGACTGGTCAAATATAACCGAAAACTAAAAAGCATAAAACATGAAAAAGGGGAAAAGTAAGTATATTAGTAGAATCCTAAATGTGTGAAGTTTTGACAACTGAAATAAATTCTGCAATGTTGGACATGTTAGGGTTCCAAAAAAAGCAAATGAAGATGTCCTCAGGAGTAATGAAACAGAATTATAAACATAGAGTAAAAATGACTACAGAAAGGACATCTAAGAAATATGTTGGTTGGAATTTCAAGTTCCTCCAAATTTTGGGGGAAGATCTGATTTGTAAAATGAGTATTATAATATCCTTGCTCCAAAACTGCAGAGGACAATACATTAAAGTGGGATAAGTGGGATAAGAGATTGAATAGATAATACACTGGCAGGAAAGCTTTCTGATTTAAATGTTACCAAATTTGCCTTGCTCTACAAGGAGAGCTTTATCAAGCAACCCCTGCCAGACTGCAACTCCATTTCTTCGTAATGCCATGGTCAGAAGGGCTGTACGTGAGAAGTCACATTGGTGTAAATCATCCTAAATTCTTGTTTTCCATAAAGAGGAAAATTTACTGAGAAGGATCACAGCAGCCTGGGAGTTACTAGAAAAGTGAAGTTTTAAGTCAAAAATAAACCCAGCATTTCTCACAAGGTCAGCAGAGCCCAAAACTCGAGTTTTAGATTACTATTTCTATTGTAGTATATGTGAAACCACAGCATATCTAACTCTTTTCTCTTGACCTACCACAGCTCTGTAGAGTTTGAAAGTAACCTATTCCTCCACCATCAGGAATTCTTGCTTTGTTCTGCATCTAATCCATTAGAAGAAATTCTAGCTTCATCCTGCTTCCCAGTTCCTTCATTTCACAGGAGTGTTGTCCTCTCTATTTGATTGCATGTGTTTGTTCGTTTTTTTAGGAACTAGTGAATGGAAACTATGGCATGATGGAAGCAAATGCTATCTTCTTCAACCTGAGAAAGTTTAGATACGTTGAGTTTCTGCAACTTATATTCAGGTTGACTAATGATTCTGGGGATCCAGCTTCTGCAAAGCCATCTGCAATAGGTTAAAAACAAAGGTCCCCCAGAGCAGGGGTCCCCAACCACCGGGCCCCGGATCGGTACCGGTCCGTGGATCATTTTGTACCAGGCCGCAAAGAATGAAAGTAGGGCCTACTTTGCTTGGGCACCGCCATCTTGTTTCGACGGCGCTTGAGAAAGTGCTTCCGGGTGAGCTTGTCGGTCGTCGGTTGGAAAGCGGCGTTTGGGTGCTGAAGGAATCCTCGCGCCTTAGTTTTGTCGAAGGGGGGGGGGCGGCTTCGAACGAAGAGCCGTCCCGATGGTGGTGGAGTCTCGCGTTACTCAGGAGATTAAGAAAGAGCCCGAAAAGCCCATCGACCACGAGAAGGTACAAAGGAGGAGTTGAAGGTGACGGGGAGAAGCGGGGGACGGCTGGCTGGCCGGTCGCTCGGCTCGCCTTGCCTTGGTCGTGCATGCTGATGCCGGTACCGGTCCATGGATCATTTTGTACCGGGCCGTGGTACAAAAAAGGTTGGGGACCACTGCCCCAGAGCACCCTCCTCTTTGTTGTGCTGGATACAATCATATCTGCAGTTCTCTTTGGCAATATTTTGAGAACTTGCCCTAGAATAATTCAGGAATCTTCAAGCTCCTCTCAGGCTAACAATCCTTCACTAATGTAACACTGTCTTTCAAGTTTGTTCTTTAAGCACCTCCAATAGCCAAATCATCTAGATCCATCTTAGATTACCAGCCATTACTTTCCTCCATCAGAGTTCTTTTTTCCAGAGATCTGTTTTTCAGTACTCAGACTCCCCATCTTTTACCAACTGAGCAACCCATATTTTCTTTTTCCTATAAGAAAATCTTCCTATGGAAGACTAAGCTAACTCTGCTTTCAGCTTTTGCTTCTTAGCTCCCTAGAATAAAATGCCTTGGTTGTCTTCATGATGGATTCAGAGATCTTAACACAAAAATAAAATTCGCCTGAGCCTGCTTCATAATGCCAGGCATTTGTTTTTGGGAAGTCTATCTGCAAAGCCTATGTGCTTCAATATGGCTTCTGAATTTGGGAGATACTATTTAATATTTATGGAACGTATGACCTATCTGTGGCAGTAGATCTGCTTCCAGAAAACCTGGAGGGAAGAAGGAGAAAATCTCTTGCACACAGATTCAGAACTGGCTGCTTACTGAACCTTGATCTGTGTGATGCAAGAAGCAATGTTCTACCATTCTATTGGCGAATAGGCATAGCATGATCAGAGGAGACAGTGATGGCGAACCTTTTCAACACCGAGTGCCCAAACTGGAACATGAATGCACGTGTGCCAGAGTGCCGGAAACCAAAACCAACAGGTTGAGCACGCCAGCCAGTTGATCTTCGCACGTGCCAGAGCACCGGAAACTGAAGGCCAGCTGAAGGAGGGCAGGGGCATAATCTACTGACTGAATGAATTACTCCTTCTATTGCCCTCGGTGAAAGAAGACTTACCTCTGCTTTGGTAAGCTGTTCCTTGAGTTTTTCTACTTCCTCCCTCAGTTCCCGGATGATTCGGGCATTGGGATCTTCATTGATCACAGCATGGTTCACAATGTTCTTGGCTCGGTCTGCATACCTCAAGGTAGAAAGTATCTCATCGTAATTATCTGCCGCTGGACTGACAGTAGCAACCATTGCAGTCTTACTATTGCCACCAAGGCTATCCTGGGAATGTGAAATCAGAGAATAAGAATTTGAGGCGTTTTGATTGCTTGATTTAAAGAATTTATAAGGCAACCCATCTCCAAGATTAACAAGGAGTAACCTATCCATGACAAGGGACTGATTATACTTTGAGCAAAGCAGACGCCATACCACCTGCCTCTAATCCCTCTGACAAGAAAATATCTACTGACGATATTTCTGGGAGATAGACTCATACAAAATGCAGACAATAAGTGGTACACACACACACACACACACACACACACACTTTATATTGGCCTCACACAACCAGGCAGCCTACACAACCTGCTGTCAAGCCCGAAATTGACATATGCATAGCCATTTTATTTAGTCTTATTATATATTCCTTTTCTTTCTTTCTGCTGGTTATGGGGAGAAGGGTTTCAGGCTTGCCACATTCTTAAGGTGGGAGGAGTGGACATAGAGAGAGTTGTTTAGACTAGGTGGTTCTTCTTCCCGTGGGAACACGAGCTGACCCTGCTAAGGCCTTGAGGTGGAGATTTATGACACCAGGCAACTTTGATTTACTTCTATTGGAGAATGTGACTTTTGGGGGCTGTTTCTAACTTCCAATATTATGTGGTGTAATTCCAGGTTGTGTCAGATCTGGAACAGATCTACAACAGACTTTGCCAATTTGATGCTTTCCTAAGTAAAATAAATTGTTTTGGAAGATGGACTTTGTTCTTTTTTTTTAAAATGGATTTCATCACTTGGAAACCTGACACCTGCCTCTGCTGCATTACAGTTCCATTAAGACCCTAGTTAGCATTCCTAGTGGTTAGGGAAGATGGGAAATACAACCTCAGACATCTAGAAGTCATTAGGTTGTATGAGGCTGATTTTAGTTGCCTATAAAATGTAGGTGTGCACAGCTGCTGGGCGTCATATTCACAAATCTTTCTGAGACATTCCTAATTATTCTGGTGAATTTAAGCTTTCATAACTAGCCTAGTTAAAGTTCAGCATAATTTCTTGTGCATTTGCTTTAGATGTGGGAAACGAAGCTTTAAATCTGTGCTAAGTAACCATCACCTTTCTCTGCCTGAGGGTGGAGATACATGAAGATTATTATAATGCATAACATTCTAAACGCTAAGACAAAAGGCTAGATAGCAATGCCACTTAGTCCCAAATACTGCTTCACAGTACTTTAAAGCCCTCTCTAAGCAGTTTATAGAGTCAGCATATTGCCCGCAACAATCTGGGTCCTCATTTTACCAACCTCAGAAAGATGGCGGGCTGAATCAACCCTGAGCCGGTGAGACCTGAACTGCTAAACTGCCGGCAGCTGGCAATCAACAGAAGTAGCCTGCAGTACTGCATGTTAACCACTGTGCCACCATAGCTCTAGATACTGTTCAAAACACAATCTGCAACAGTAGCAATAATATATAGCATATTCCAAATTTATAAAGCCCTTCAAAGACATTGTCTAAACCAGGGGTCTCCAATGTTGGCAACTTTAAGCCTGGTGAACTTCAACTTCCAGAATTACCCAGCCAGCAAAGTTGTCAACGTTGGAGACCCCTGGTCTAAACCAACCAAATACATGAAGGACATATGAGTTCTCATCAGCAGATTATGGGGAAAGGGAAGTGCTAAGGCAGAGAAAGCAATGATTGGGTCAAGCAACAATAAAATTCTCTTTGCTACATCAGCTGTGCCACAAGAAATAATACACTAGGAGCAAAAGAGAACTATTTCTCTTAAGTAAATGGCATTGACAGCTGCTGCTAAACAAATAAAGGACAAGCAACCTGCACACATCTCTAAATATACTTATTATGCTTTGACCATGAGTGCTTAAAATGGCCTGGACCCAGAATATATGAAGACAGCCCTTAAAAGCCTAGTATCATCTAGATGTATTGGAATTATTGCTCTTTGAAATCTGAGCTAGAATCAGCCATCCGTATAAGGTAACTTTTATGGTACCTTCCTTAATGTTATAAATCCAAAAGGCTGAGATGGGTCACTGATTAAAAACCATGATTGTTGTTAGTTTCTAGTACTTAATGTTCAATGTTAATTAGGCTTAAAAGTATAGAAATTATATATAAAAGTGTAGTAGGGTATTCAAGCCTTTTCACAAGCATTTTACCCATCTTCCTTAGGTGGGAATAAAATGCCTTCCTACTTTTTCTACGGCTGACCTTGTGATAATAATAGAGATTTCTCCATATTAAGTCTTAGCCGATGATTACTTTTATTGTGGACAGAAGCTTCCTTGAAGATACACTGTGGGCACCAATTCTAAATGAAAACTCAAGGAAAGAACGAAGGAAGGAGGGGAGAAATGTAACATCTAAGCTCCACCACCAAAGTTGCATGCAATGTCTCTTTTAAAATCAACAGAAATTAGACTTTTAAAGCAGATACAGAGGTGAATAACTATACAAGATGATTAAATCAAAATAGCCATGCACTGGCTATAAACATCCTGATGGAAAGCAACAGAAATGATAACTCCCCCTCCCCTTCTTGCTCTATAATTGCTAGAAATAACTCATCATATTTGTTTAGATTTCAAATGTTATGCCAGATGCTGCCAGCTTTGAGCCTAGATTGGGTTCTTTCGCTGTCCTATCCCAGTGCTTTTTCAGCCAAGCCAAGGAACTCCACATTCCCAGCCTTTTATTCAGCACAGGGAAAACAGTTGCTGAAACCTCCAAGCACTTGAGCACAGAATTCAATGCTCCTTTTCCCTGAGACCATAACACACTCGATAACAACTTGGAAGGTTGTGACTCTGAACGGAGGAAAGAGAAAAGCAAGAAAGGGCAATGGAATTTAATCACACTTGGCCAATAAAGTATTCTATTCTTTCTATCTATTCTACCAGCACTGTTTCCCACCTCAATATCACTCTCTTTACAGAAGCTGCTTTTTTATTATAAGGGACAAGATATTGAGTGCCTGTATTCCCCTTCCCACAACAGAAGCTTACGGAACATGATTTTTACCTGTAAAAAAAAATTATACAGGAAAGAACACTGACACAATAGGAACCATCTCAAGCTGGAAAATACTACTGTAATGTAAGCATTTATTGTCTGCCTCTCAAGGCCATCAAGAGACTGGCTGAGGATTTATTAACTTGGAAAGGTGGTGTCAAACTTCAGTCATCTGGGGACTTTCAAGGAAGCAAGAATTGCAGAGCTAAGCTGTTTAAATGCTAGTCTGAGGGAAATTCAGAATTCTGGAAGTAAAGAGAATCTTCTAGGCCAGTGGTTCCCAACCTTTTTTTCGCCCCGCACCCCTAAAGAAATTTCACTCGAACCTCGCACCCCCTGAAATTTAGACTTTAGGAACTACTGAACGTGTTAAATATATGGTAGGATTGAATCTTTTCAGCTATGTATGTGACGGCCACTAAATAACGATACTTAACTCTAAAATGAAAACAAAGTTAATCCATTGCATAATAAATAAATAATAAAATAAAATAAAATAAAATAAAATAAAATAAAATAAAATAAAATAAAATAAAATAAAATAAAATAATAAAATAAAATAAAATAAAATAAAATAAAATAAAATAAAATAAAATAAAATAAAATAAAATAAAATGCATACATACATACACAAATAAATAAAAAATTTACCTGGGCTTTTCTCGCACCCCCTAGAATATCGTCTCGCACCCCCAGGGGGTGTGAGCACCCCAGGTTGGGAACCCCTGTTCTAGGCCCTGCTTATAATAAGTTCATGTTAGTGGAGGGGAGTGTATCTCTTGGAATGAAGCTTCTTCACAAGTTTCTTGCCTCTTAGACCGAGACATTTGTAAGGTAAGTGGTCAATGGGTTTGCCTTCTGTCTCTTGACTGCTGATTATCTAACTGTCCTTTCCATTCATTTTCTCAGCCTCCCTAAAATCTCACGGGCTGGAAGAAAAAAAAACCTAGTTTAAATTCCAGTTTACAGGCTGACATAAAGGGACTTCATTACACTGTGGTGGATCAATCAGCTGTTGTGTTTAAAAATTCGTTCTTCTTTCCAATAAAGCTTCTAATATAACTAACTTGTTTCTGCGAGTCTCTTGCCAAAACTAGACTTTTAGGATTGATTATCCACAATAAAAGGAATAAGCAGTCAGAAAATACATTGCAGACTAGCCCTCGGTACAGCTCTGAACGCCCTGGAAAAGCTATTCAGATGCTGTCATGTATTTGGACTTACAAAGATCAGAACAGTGTACCCTATGACACTCTATGGAACGGAAAGCTGGATTCTCAAAAGGCAAGATTGAAAAACCATTGAAGCTTTTGAATTCTGGTGTTGGAGAATACTCATGGACAGTCAAAAACAAACAAAAGGATCACTGAACAAATCAACCCAGAAGCAAAAATGACAGGGCTCAAATTATACAGGTAGTCCTCAACTTACAACAGTTCATTTAGTGACCATTCAAAGTTGCAACAGCACTGAAAAAAGTGGCTTAGGACTATTTTTCACAGTTACAACCTTTGAAGCATCCCCATGATCATGTGATCAAAATTCAGACGCTTGGCAACTGGATCATACTCAATGGCTCTGTCCCGAGGTCATGTAACCCCCTTTTGCAACCTCCTGACCGGCAAAGTCAACGGGGAAGCCAGATTCACTTAATAACTGGGTGACTAACTTACCAAGTTAGTAATGATTCACTTAACAACTTAACAACTGTGGCAAGCAATGTTGTAAAATGGGACAAAACTCACTTCACAAATGTCACAGTTAACAATGGAAATTTTGGGCTCAATTGTGGTCATAAGTCGAGGACTTCCTGTGCTTTGGACACATTATGCAAAGATGTAGCTCTCCTGGAGAAGGCTCTAATGGTGGGAAAGGTAGAAGGAAAAAGAAGAGACTGACTAGCAGCAAAATGGATAGACTCATATCTGCAATAGTTGCACCATTGGAAGAACTGAAAGACCAACTTCTGGATACATCATCCTGGAGATATTCTATGTAGTCAATTACAGTCAATGTCAAATTTGATGGCATGTAACCGTAAAATTACTGAATAAGGTATTCATATTGTACACCAGTCTGATCTCCCAAAGGTACTTTTTTCAAGAGGTAACTGGACTTTCTAGTTTTTCTTTGAAAACGTTTCACTTCTCATCCAAGAAACTTCTTGGATGGAGGATTTATACTCTTTTATACTCCTTCCAATTCCCACCATCCAGTCAGAGCTGAAGACGTTTCTTTGGATGAGAAGCAAAACGTCTTCAAAGAAAAACCAGAAATTCCTGTTGCCTCTTGAAAAAAGCACCTTTGGGACAACCATGACCTAAATGACTAAGAATTTCCATAGACAACCAATCTGATCTGTTCTTCCTTCACTTAGACTTAGCTGCAGTAGAGTCTTAGATGGAATAGACCTATTCTCAGGCTATGCCAGTTTCTGCTGCAAAAAGAGATGATTGGGATATCTCCCTCTCTCCATTTGCATATCTACAAAAGCCTTGCATTTCCTTAGAAAATTTAATTCTTATGTATTTGACTTCTAAGGCCAAACTTCAGCTACAGGGTAGACTGGGTGAAAAGGCCATTTAAAGGTGGGCAAGGGGCCATTTTCACCACCTAGAGCTTGGAACAAGCAAAAAGAAAGGAGAAAGAAAAGGCAAGTCACTGAATCAATGCCTGAAAACAATTATCTCTGCTTCTCCCAACTCCGTCTGTATGACACAAAGGTACGCAATGCAGCAATCTCACTTAAGCAAAATCAGTTTGTCTTAATGTCTTTATACAAGACCTCCCATAATATTGTTAGCTGCCTTCAATAAAGTAATTTCCAAACCTTACTGAAACTAAAACCGAGTGTCATTTATCTCACACAGTGTACATTGGCATTTTATTGAGTTCTGACAGTTATTTGGGTCTTTTTTTTCTTTGTAATGCTGTTGTTGCTCCTGAAATTCGTATTTGTGACCTGGGAAGAATTAATTGTGGCTCCTAAAGAATTAATTCAGTTGTTTTTTTAAGTGAAAGAAAGTTGATGAATATTTATTTATAGAGCCTTGGAATAATAAGCTTGAATATGCTGTTCAGCAGTGAAGGTTGCTTTAAAAAAATGAAAGGAGTCTTTCTTGATCTTAAAATAAGTTTAGTATTTTGTTTTGTGTATACTTGACAACTAAAGTAAGGACTATCTGCAGTTGCCTTGGTGTTAGAAATGTAACATAGAACATTATCCTATAGGTTTGTTTTCTACCACCTTATTTGGGTCTGAAATCCACAAATTTGTCAACCTTTTGCTGCTATACTCTGATAATACTCTGGGCTATTTGGAATGTATTACCATATTAAGAACTATAGAGTCCTCCTGCACATTTTTCTACTTATTTTCCTTTTATATGTTTTTTTTGCCAATGTTTGACTTAGGAGGGTTTTTTTTCCCAACAGAAGGGTAAGGAAAAAGATTTTGATGAATTGTTTTGTAACCACTTTATCATATACATTTTCAAGCCTTTTGCCTTTTTAAAAGATGTTTAATTTTTATACATATTGTCATTATTTTTTAATGAGAATCCTCATTTATAATTTATGCTGCTCTTGAGTTTCCTTTCCCCAGTGGATGAAACATAGACGATATGGTATCTCCACCCCTATCCAAGATATTTAACAGAAGAACGAAGTCTCTCTATATCCAGTTATGGATTTGCCTAGTAGTGCTAATGAGGAAGAAAGAGCATATTTTATTCTTTTAGTTATATAAATCTATTAAATGAGAAATAGATTCTTTTCTATGCTTACAGTATGGAATTGTCTTGGCAGGAACGGAAGTCAAGCCACTTCATATCCTGCTTACTTCCTAATGTAAAATCTCTGAAAATATCACTTCGTACTGTTAGATTGAAAAAAAAGCGTAATCTATGTGTGCAGGAAAGGGGACAAGAGGATTTTAAAACACTGTTTCTGAGTTTCAAGTGTTAGAACTGGCACAACCTCTTAGCTTCACAAAAGTTGTCACTCGAAATGTTGCCACCAAATTGCAATGTTTAATATCACAGAGATAGCAATTATTAAATACATGAGAAGTAATATTAACATAATTCATGTATATAATTACAGATATGTGATTACTATAATATAATCCAAATTTAATTGTGTTGAAATGTATTCTGTCCCCACTTGCTCCTTTGTTCTGGGATTGTCAATTTGGGTGTGTGTGATCCCTGCCCCGCCATTCCTCCCCTCAAAAGATGGCCATCCTGATGTTAAGCTACAGATGGTACAGAAAAGAGCAATTAAAATAATGAATAATATTCATAAAGATTAAAATTATGAAGGAAGGCTAAATAATCGGAAAATTGGAAGAACTCTCCAAAGCCTTTTTATTTCATCACATTTGCATAGCTGCCCATCTTACCCAGTGCATGAAGGGCACATTTAGACTTAACACTTCCACCTTTTGGTAATTGAGATTTTTTTTTAAAGAGGGGAAAAACAATTTGCCTTGCAAAATTTGAATGTAGTAGTGAAAGAAAGCTTTCACATAATTCTAGCACACACCAAATGAAATTAGTGACAAATTCAGGATGCAGAAGAACAAACATATGGTACATAGTCCTTGACTTGAAACAGTTCATTTACTGACCATTCAAAATTACAACAGCACTGAAAAAACTGACTTAAGACCATTTTTCACACTTACAACCATTGCAGCACTCCCATGGTCACATGATCAAACTTTGGACGCTTGACAACTCACATTTACGACAATTGCAGTGTCCTGGGGTCATGTGATCACCTTGTCCAACCTTCTTACAAGCAAAATCACGGGGGAAGCCAGATTCACTTAACAACCAATAATATTAACGTAACAACTGCAGGGATTCACTTAACCACCGTGGCAAGAAAAGTGGTTAAATGCATCAAAATTCACTTAACAAATGTTTCACTTAGCAACAGAAAGTTTGGGCTCCATTGTGGTCATAGGGCTCCATTGTGGTCATAAGCCGAAGACTATCTGTACTACAGTTATTATTGAAAGAGGAATTTATGGAGTTCATTGCAGGAAATATAGAAACAGGCTTTTTCAGAGTAAGATAAACATTACCGAGGAGGCGAAGGGCTAGCAACAGGATTTAGCCATAATAACCAAAAAGGAACTATTAACTGTATACTCAAAGGCTTTACATGTTTGAATACCAGTTGAGAACTTGCTTATAAGAAGTCACCAGCAGGGGATCCATTGAGTTTATTAGCGTAATATCCATAAAGACTTCCCAAAAGTGTTCAAGAAGAACAAGTGTTTGCTGGTTGTTGTTTTTCCCCTCCCAGCTCTGGAAAACCACATATTGCTATAAAAAGTGGAATTTAAAAAACCTCACTGGCATTGACAGATTTGGATATATACAGTATAATGTCTCTGAATATTTGCATGACTATATTTTATTTTATTTTACAGGTAGCAACAAAATTTAGCAATAAGATTGTGTCACTGAACTCCTGCCAACATTTTGTTCCTGTTTGAAGTTCTTCCAAACTAGTTGCATTCTTCTGTAATCATCAAGCCAGGTTTTTTTTTTTTAACAGTGCACAGTCAATTCTGTGACTCTTTCAATTCGCAGGAGATTGACCTCCTTCGACCTTTCTCTTGAGCTACAACTGATATGTCTGTTGCAGTCCACACTCATATTCGATGGACATCAAATGGCTAACAATTGAAAGCAACATCTCTGATGTTAGCCAGTGGGCTAGCCATGGTAAAGCTTTTATGATAGAAAAGCTGTGGATGCAGCTGCCAGTAAATTGACTAAGAGAGTGTACTATTGATTAGGAACAAGTCTGAGTGGGGAGCCACCTAAGGGGATCCAACTCTATCAGAAAGCTAGGAAATTCTACTCCTGGAGAAAGAAGAGAGCTTGAGAGCTTCCTGAGGAGAATTATTCACAGAGCTACTGTGGTTTTCTACCGAAATCAGCAGCTGCAATCTTTTATGTTCAGCAGGTGTCCCTTCCAAATAGACCCGAAACAGAAAGTGTTGTCTTGCTTGACCTCCTTAATAATGGCTCACTTACTTTGAGCAGCCAGGTGAGCACTGAGTCACGATAAGGAACAAACTTGTTCTTATTTTTTCCAGCAGCTTGATCTGCCAGGGCTGAAATGACCAACCCAAGAGTTGTGAGAGATCTGTATAGGGGAGAAAAAGATTCTGCAATTATATGGTGACTAGAATCAGATATATGGTTAAGAATAGCTGGTCCTTGCATTTTGCTTTTAGGGTAAAATTGTCTAAGCATTAACTAACATATAAACAAAACCCTGAAAAAAATCATTCTTAATTTTTCTCTTGTTTCTAATCTAATAATTTCTGAGGTCTCAGAGAAGAGAAGAAGGAAGTCCTGTGTCTTCTAAAGAAAAGTTGGAGGGAAAAGTCAAAGGAGAACTCTGTTTCTTTCTTTTCTCTTGCTATTCTGAATATGTAAAGAACATTAGGACATATTTACTTTTGCCTTCACCCTCCCTTTAAAAACATTTAGTTCCTTTAAAAGGTAAACTTTACTTGTTGATGTTGCTTCCTTCCTTCAACCTATCGCCTGCAGCTCCTGTCTTGGTTGCTCTTTCACTGCCTGCCAGGTCAACCAGGCTCAACTTGCCTACTTTCTCACCAGAGGTCTGTGGAATGAAAATAGAATTAACTCAATAACATATTACTTCCTCAGTACCCCAAAATACCCTTCATACTTTTTCTCAGTTTGTGGGAAAAGAAAGGAAGAAGGGAAAATGACAAGGAAAAAGATCTTGATGCTAAAGAGATCGTTAAGTACCGACTGTGTAATGCTATCATAAATGATTTATTGTATAACAAATGTGCCTATTCAAAAGAGTTTATAGAGAAATCTCTCATGCCTTCTACATAAGTTACATCTCCCCTAATCACCAGGCCAGAAGTTAACATCTAGCACAAATGAATGTGACCAAAGCCAATCTAGATTTTACTGGAGGGGGAAAACAAAGGGATAAGAGAGATTAAAAGCAAAGGTAATAAAAGATAAATCCCCCTCCTCTAATAAAATAATAAAGTTTATTTTATTTCAAAATGTGGACCAGAGAACTGAATATTTTAAGTCAAACTTGCATGTTGGTGAGTTTTAATTTTCCAAGTATCAAATAACCAATATAATTAATGAGAAAAGGCACAGGATTTCACTAGGATTGTTCAGACAATAATATGTGCAGATTTTTGCTTATACCAGGGGTCCCCAACTCCCGAGCCACGGCTTACTACTGGGCCTTGAGCTATTCGGAACCAGGCCGTGGAAATGGTGGGTGAGCATGCACGCACACATATCCACTTACAGAAGCAGCGGGCGAGCACATGCACGAGCAGGCAGATCAGCATGTGCGTGCATGCTTTATTTGCATAAGCAGCAAGCGTGCATGTCTGTCGCTTGTGCAGAACTGTTTCCTCTCCCCCTCCCCACCAGTCCACAGAGCTGGAAAGGTTGGGGAACTCTGGCTTATATGGAATCATTCCATCACTCAGGGATACAGGCATATAAAGTGAGAGCAGAAGACCTCTATACAGCCTTAGGTTCACAAGGGATTTTCAGTCTGCGTAGAAATTGGTTTACGTAGTTCATATATTATATTTTAGCCTACTTGAACAAAGATAAAAGAAATCTGAAAAATATAAGAAATTTCTCAAATTCAATGCAGGCGTTCCCAAAATATGTGGAGAAGTATGGTATCACCTACCCCCCCCCCCCCCCCCAAAAAAAGTGCTCTTCCTTTAATGAATTGAGTTTGGGGATGTAAAGTGCTTTTTAAAATGGAAACGTCCTTAGTAGTGTGGCTAAAACAAGGGATATATTATCTATTATCTGTGAGCCCCAAACAACCAAAGGTTGTTAGAGATGTTTGGATAACATTGAAACCCCCAGAAGAATCACTTTTCATACATAAATAATGTTCCCCTGATTCAGATCCCAAACAAACTGTAGAGAAAAGCAACTGTCCCTAACATTATAAGATCTGAGATTGCAACCTAAAAACATATCCCACACCATTTTTAAAAGTCTTGGTTTTAAGTAAATAGTACTGTTGTTCTTAGAAAGGCTGTGCTACCTCTCATGATGAGGTTGGGGATCTGTGATCTTCAGGAATCCCATCATCTCTGACTTTAGACCAGGGGTGTCAAACTTGATTTCCTTGAGGGCCACATCAGGGTTGTGTTTGACCCCGTGGGGCCGGGGTGGGCATGGCTAGCATGATGTGACTTGTGTTGGGGGGGCATCTGTGGTGGCCCAAGAGGTCTGCCAGTGAAAATGGGCTCCTGGGCTCTGTTTTCGGCTGTGATGGCCTCCTGCAGCCCTCTGCTAGTGAAAACGGAGCTGGGAGGGGGCGCGTGTGGTCCCCGTGAGCTCTGTTTTCGCTAGCAGAAGCACTGCAAGTCCACAGGCCTTGAGTTTGACATCCTTGTCTTAGACCAAAATGCTAGAGCTAATAAGATTACAAGAACATCTGAGGACTGCAGGTTCCCCAATCTTGCCTAGGGTAACAAAGATCTATTCTAGAAGCAAGTAAAACAAGAGTAAAATTCTGGCAAAAGTATTTGTTTTTATACTTACAAAACTCCTTTTTTTTTTCTTTTTTTAAACAGATCTCTGTTATTTATCTGCACTGCAAATTGCAGAACTCACCCCTGATTTTACATCATACAATATGTGTGTGAGGATAATTTTGAAAACAGCATGGGATCGACTACTCTCTTCATTCATGTTTGTTGCAGCAACTGTACGAGATTTATTGCCTTCAGACATCAAAGACTCTATGTCCTAAATAAAAGAATCACAAAACATATTGTGTTTTAGTGAAGTTCATGCATAACTTGTGATCTGAACTAAGCCATGTGGCTCATTTAACAAATCATAATTGAAACAAACCACAGCTTAATGTCACGTCTTGTCCCAATCACTGAAGTCTTGGTTTTGTCAAGAGGTTAGAGAATGCTATGTTCAGTGAGTAAAACAAGATCTTATTGCTCCACATAAACCATGGTTTTGTAATACATTTTCCCTGGTTCTCATCAGGAATCACAGAGTTAAAAGAAATCTTAGAAATCATCTAGTCAAAGACCTCCCAAAGGTGCTTTTTCAAGAGGCAACTGGACTTTGTTTTTCCTTGAAGAAGTTTCACTTCTCATCCAAGAAGTTTCTTCAGTTCTGACTGGTAGGGAATGGAAGGATTTGAATTCCTTGCAGTCATCTGGTCATTAGCACTCTTTTTGAGAGTTGTTGAGGCCACTTGGAGGTTTATCTGTGTCTATTGACAGATGACAGCAAGGGAATATAAATCCTTCCATTCCCCACCAATCAATCAGAACTGAAGAAGCTTCTTGGCTGAGAAGTGAAACATCTTCAAGGAAAAACAAACAATGTCCAATTGCCTCTTGAAAAAACACCTTTGGGACAACCATGACCTGGATGACTGAGAATCTCCATAGACATAGAATAGATAGAATTCTTTATTGGCCAAGAGTGATTGGACACACAAGGAATTTGTCTTGGTGCATATGCTCTCAGTGTACATAAAAGAAAAGATACATCCGTCAAGAATCATAAGGTACAACACTTAATAATAGTCAATAATAGACATTTAGTCAAAGACATTTTTCTCCTCTCATTGAGCATTTCAATATGTTCCAAAATCATTTGTTTAGAGACCTCTAGGAGTAAGGCTGATGATCCCTGGTTACAATTTTGCTTAGCATTTTCATTAGGACTTATTACATTTTTCAGCTAAAATTTAAGTATTGCACCTGAACTATTTTGGTCTTGCTTACATTCAGCACATTTCATGTCCTTATTTGAATAAGAGAAATTCTTCTGCTGAAACTGGGGAAGTGTAATGAAGGTAACACATGATGTATGCATGTGCACAGACGCAAGCTTAACATATAGTCATTTATTAAATCTCACAACAGCTTTATATAGTAGATTAGCATTATTATTACACTGTTGCAAGGTGAGTTGAGAAAAACCAAGACAGATAGCTTTAGAAAGTGATGGACTCTCCTGCGTTGAAGGCTTTTAAACAGAGATCTCTGGAGTGTAGAGTACCAAAGGCACCCATTAAATGACCTTACAGGTCGTTTTCAACTGGATGATTTTATTAGATGCCTGCATTATATTTGCTGCAAAAGTCAACCAATAAAACTTACATTTTATGTATGGTAGCAAAACAAACCAGTATTCAAATTCTAAGTTACAAAGAGAACAATTTAATCAAAATACTTTGTGCAAATTTGTCTTAAACTTACACTGAAGTTGGGGGAAGGGCTTTTGGTCTGCAACAGAGCACAAGTGCTGAACAGGAGTCATGATTCATACATATTTCCTTGTGTTTTTTACTTGGTTTTTTGGTGAGTCCCAAGTTAGATTGTTGAAGTGCAAACATTCTCCGACACTTAAGGCTATTGCTAAAGTTCTGCAAACAAGCCTACCATAATTACTTGCTAAACCAGTTTTGCAAGATCTTTCTCTTCTTTCTTTAAAGGCAAAGATAAAAATCTCCCGATGACTTCATGAAAACATCCAGGTAATTTAAAGGTAAATATTTCCCCGTCCATCATTTCCAACTCTAGGGGATGGTGCTTATCTCTGTTTCTTAGACGAGGGAGCCAATGTTGTCCAAAGACATTTCCATGGTCATGTGCATAGAATGCTGTTACCTTCTCACTGAAGTGATACCTATTTATTTAGTTGCATTTGAATGCTTTCAAACTGCTATATGAGCGGAGCTTGGATAAGTAACAGGAGCTCATTCCATCGCCCAGCACTCGGGTCTCGAACCTGGGCTGTCAAGCTTTCCAGCTGACAAGCTCAGTGTCTTTAACCACTGAGCCACCCCCCCCTTTTTTCAGGTAGTTTATTTGCCAATAATATGGAAGTGGTTTTACCACTGCCTCCTTCTCAGATGTTTTTTCAGCTGATATTTCCCATTCAAATGGTGTCCCATTCAAATGTTAACCGACTCCACCCCTTCTTAACTTTCTGAGCCAGCCAAGTCAACTAAGAGCTGGGTTGTGAAATCAGAGCTGATCCTCAAGATTATAGTTCTATAGATGCCTTCCTCATTCTGATTTCCACTAGAATGCAACAGACTAAAATATCCTCCACTATCAACTAACTGTAGCAATGCTGGTTGCAGACAATGGGAGTTATAATACAGTAGATTTCTGCAGCATTACAGGGCCTTAACGCCTACAGGGTTTATATGGTAGAAATGAGGATGGGGGCAAGCAAATAATGTTTAGTATGCCTCATTAGCTTCAGAGTTATAAACATTCCATGGATGAGAGCTTCCTAAAGGGCAGTTCATAAGTGCAAGGACACTGCGGGTGGAAACATATTGGTTGTGCAGATACAGCAAAGATATTAAAAACAAGATAATGATATTTCAAATAACACTTTATCTTTGCTTCTGGTGATACTGAACCTCAATTGTTAAAGTTTTGCCTTTAGGGAATCTCAAACTTAATCTTAAACTACAACACTGGAAAAGTATCTTCTGTAAAAAAAAATGTGCAGGTAACTTCTACCATTAATCTTGGAAAGCCATTATTAACCAAGCACAAGGATCACTAGGCCAGACAGATCAATCTGTCAATCAATCAAGGGGCGTGCATAAGTGCACCATCGTGCCTACTGTCCCTGTCCTATTGTCCCCATTTATTCGTACCTATTTCCCGTATTCTTACTCATGTTTATACTTATATCTATTACCTTGTAAGCGATTGACAAATCAAATCAAATCAAATCAATAAATCTGTCCAAGATCTGTTTAAGTGTACTGAAACCATGATACTCCCTCTCATCAATCCTGAACAGACCACGGAGAAGATGAGAAAAGCATGGGGTTTTCTTTTCCCTCCCACTAACTTTATCCCTGCACTTCCCTTCCAGAGTTCCTATGGAAAAATCACTAGTGAAGGGAATCAGTTGGCCCTTCCTTGTGGTGATTTTGCTTGCTGATTAGAGTTGCTCCATCTTAACCGATTCACTATTATTTTCTAATGTACCGTAAGTTGTTTTGGACACATGTTCTTATAGAAAACAGGTATATAAATAATTGGGTGATAATAACCATTCCACTGAACATTATTAAGCCTATATAATGGATATCTTTACCTTGTAATTGGCAACAGCTAGTTTTGAAAGACCATCTACATAAGGTCCGTAAACACTGTGCTCTCTGACTTTTAAAGATTGACGGCTCCTGTTTGAAAGCAAACACAAAACAAGATATTACATTTGCAGAATGTAAATGGGCAATATTGTCCATGCATTATTGTCAGGGAAGCACTTCTGAGTCATGCTGATTCACACTTGCTTAGACTTTTCTTCTTAACTTCAAATGAGGTTTTGATTTTGACTGGACTGTGTCCAGCATTTAAAGACGCTTTTGGATGATCAATTTCACTGTCCAACTTGGGGCAATTAATTCACTCTTCTCAAGGTGAAATTTTCAACAGCAAAAATGCTATCACACAAAGATAAGAAAAAAGACAGAGGCTATCCAGTTTGCATATTATCAAGATAGCAGTCAACATATTGCTCCAGGGACTGACTATTTAAACAGATTTTTGACCTTAAACTTCCCTGAGATAATTTTGAGATTTAAAAGCCTACTCAAATAGTTAAGATAAAACAGTTTCCCTCCCCTCCCCCCCAATTGCTGGGTATAGTTAACAGAAGAAGGGCAGGATGGCAGCTCCAATTCACCCCTGTTCAGTCTTGGTTCCATCTACCATTAACTTTTTAAAGAAAGTATGGGAGAACCTTATCATTGACATCCCAGTTGGACCACAAATTCTAGGAAATACAAGAAATCCTTTACACCTAGAATCGGCAGCAAAAATTATCAACACTATTTTTTAAAAGTGATCCTTACAAGTACATTAAATTTTATTTTAAAAAAGTAAATTAGTAAAGAAAAAGTGTTAAGTTATCCTTGTCTGAGAATGCTAGAATCCTGCTTATTTCAGTATTGAGAACTTCAGCAAAATTTTAATAATTCTTTTGGGAGGGGAGCAGAGAGCTACTTGAAGACTTGGACCCCTGCCATATAGTGGGTCAAAGTATAGATTCACCTAGTGTTTCACCAAGTTCTGGTGGTGAAGCCAAAGAGAATGGCTCTCTTAAATTCCAATGAGCCATGGCAGGCTACTTCTACTGACTGCTGGCTGCCTGCAATTTGGCTGTTTGAACCTCACCAGACTCAAGGTTGACTCAGCCTTCCATCCTTCTGCAGTCGATAAAAAGAGGACCCAAATTGTTGGGGGCAATATGCTGACCCTGTAAACCTCTTAGAGAGGGCTGTAAATAGCAATAGCAATAGCACTTAGACATATACCACGTTATAGTGCTTTCCAGCCCTTTCAAAGCGGTTTACAGAGTTAGCATATTGCCCCCAACAATCTGGGTCCTCATTTTACCCACCTCGGAAGAATGGAAGGCTGAGTCAACCTTGAGCCTGGTGGGATTTGATCTGTCAAATTGCAGTAGGAGTAGCTTGCAGTACTGCACTCTAGCCACTGCGCCACCGAGGCTCCCAAAGCACTGTGAAGTGGTATATAAGTCTAAATGCTATTGTTTTCCCAACCTATATAGGGAGGCTTAGGATGAAACCTAGCTCTTTCTGCATGCAAAGCATATATTTAATTACTGAGAGAAGGTCCACTCCCAGAAACAAAAATTACTGGTTTTGTTCTTGAGGAATGCATGTTGACTTGTGAGGAATGCAAAAGAAGACTTCCACTCCTATCAAATGATTACTGGGTTGCCTGCAATCTTGGTGTTCCCAAAAAACCTTCCTTACCCCTTTGGGTCCAGGAGATCTCTGACTTTCTCATTATAAATCTCCATGTAGGATACTTCCACCTTAAAACTCTGCTCTTCACTCTCCTCTTGCTGGGCTCTTTCAAAGAGACTGCTACAGAGCCGAGGTATTAATCCAGGTTCATCAGCTGTGCCCATCATTGTGTAGGATTTTCCAGATCCTGCATAAAGGAGAAAGAAAACATTTTTAAAAGAAATTAAAAATGATGGGAAAGCCCGTGAAGTCTTACTGAGGATCTTCATAAATAAATCTGCAAGCAGATTTAGGTAACTCTTCCATTATTAGTGATGAAAAGATGAGGCAAAATTATTATTCCAAATTCATGGGAAAGAGTGCCTTTACAAATATTACAGCACTATAGGCAGACATTTCATGCCCTACAGAGTGTAAATAATTGGCTATAGTTCTATAAATCAAGCTAAGTCTAATTAAATTTATGGACTGAGCTGCATGAATAAATTATTATAACTATCTTGTTTTCTCTGATCACATAAGCATAAGCGCACCAACGTGCCTACCGTCCCTGTCCTATTGTTTCTCTTATTCTTTTATTTTTCTTATATGTACCCATTTCATGTATTCACAACTATGTATACATTTATACTTATTATCTTGTAAACAATTGGCAAATCAAATAAATAAATAAAAATAAATAAATAAATACAAAACTGGTTTGTCAAACTGAGTTGGAAAATTGTAACTGTCTCCTTGTGCTGTTATGTCAAGGTGAGTTATACCACTGGGAGGAGATGCTTATATGTTTAATGTGGAAAAGAATCAAACCGTGGATAAATAAGGGTTATATCAGATTACATCCCTGCATAACAAATATTATCCCGGATCTCCAGTTCTTTTGTTTGCTATATATAAGTTAAAGAAAATATATCAAGGAAAGTCAAGAATAGGAAACTCCTGTCCTCAATCCATGGCTACCATAAGTATTCTCTTGCTATTATTCTGTGCCTAATAGTAGCCAATATCTTCAGTGACTAATGGAAAAACAAAAATACAAGCTGTTTTTTCCCAATTACCTCCATCCTTCTTTCCCTTCTCCTCCCCTCTTTCATACTTCTATTTCTCTTACCCTTACTGTCTTTCGCATTACTTTTACCAAGCTGGAGCCCTGAGGAGCACAGTCAACATTAATATTTTTGTTTAAAAATATCAGTAAAATATCTGGCTCCTAATTATAAGCCCCTATAGTTGGTTTCATTCATTTAACATTTTAAGGAAGAGTGAACAATGTTTCTGCAGCTGGTCTCTGAAAGTTGCAGTGGTTATGGCTGGTAATAACAGGTAAGATCAAACAGGTAAGATCAAATTTTCACCTTTCTTCTGATAGGTGGGGTTAAGCAGCAAAACTGATGCCTGGAGTCTTGTAGAGACTCACATAAATAGTTTTCTTCCTTAACTTCTCCCTCATAGAAGTAAATCAATTTGATCCAGAAAAAAATGGGTTTTATTAATGAGAATTCTATTTTAGTTCTTAAAATCCTTCCCAAACTCTAACATTTTGGTTCTTGCTAATTTTTGGAATCTACTAAGGGCTGGGGAGGGGAATCCTTGAGGGTCTATAGGTTGGCTATCTTTGCTTTAAATTATGACAGAATGTTGGGGAATAGCTTTAGGAAATATAACTAAATTATTCTTCAATATGTCTAAAAAGCTAAATTCTGAATCGGTCTATCTAAAGCAGAGCATGATAAAGCAGATCAGGAATTCAGGGAGTTGAATTCCACAAGTCATAGAAAGGCCATCGTTCCCCACTCCTGATCTAAATGACTGTCTATTCCCCACATAATCTGCTTGTTTTAATTGTTAACTGCTCTGTGGTTGACTCATGTTTGGTAAGTGAATATGTTGGACTAGGACTTACCTGCAATTCCCAAACTCCCTCCTTTCACCCCGACCCAATCATGCCCAAACCTTCCCATTAACTCTAAACATTCTAATATTAAGACACTATTTAGTTTACTTTACTTTATTGTCATTGCACCTTGTACAATGAAATTAAATACCATCTTCAGTGTACATTATGACTATGAAAATAAACACAAACATCCATCCTTCACATTCTATACATTGAATTGAAAACCCCTGATATTGCACTCATATTGCACTATACAGTAGAATTCCATAGAGTTACTGCCCTGGGATAGAAGCTGTTTTTCAGCCCATTTGTCCTCACTATGTGTGAGTTGTGCAGCTACAAAATTTTGTTAAATAAATAAATTGGTAAATGTTTATTTTTTTCAGTTGGCTTTCGGTATTGCATACTTTCCTCTAATGAGAGCCAATTTGGTGTAATGTTTAAAGGCAGCAGACTTGAAATGGGGAATGTGAGTTCTAGTCCTCCCATAGCATAAAATTGTCAGGTGCAAGAAGCCAGGGAACCAGGGTAAAGTTCAAAAGTACGACAAGTTTATTTCATACTACCTATATAACAATAATCTGAACAGTCAGGGCAAATTGACACCAGATAAGAGTCAATGCACTTTGAGGATGGGTGCTAGATATTAGGTCTCTTATTGGAGTATAGAGACTCCAAAGTGATGATGTGTTTGACCCTGCCCTTGGGCTCAACTACAAAAACTAGCTGAGTGATTTTGAGTTCATTCCAGAGGTAGTATTCAGCAGGTTCTGACCAGTGGAGAAACGGTAGTGGAAAATTTGAGTAGTTTGGAGAACTGGTAGCAGAAATTTTGAGTAGTTTGGAGAACCAGCAAATACCACCTCTGATTGGCCTGCCCCCATCTGTTCTCTGACTACCAAGTCCCAGTTGATCGGCTGGGTCTTCTTTTGTTGCCCTGCATAGGAGAACAGAGCTGGAAAGCAGGTTAGTGGGGTGTGGAGCAGGGGTAGTGTTCAG